CTGACAGACGTGCGTGACTTCTTTATGGATAAAGAGTGCGGTGAATCATCCGGAAAGCCAGCTGGTGCTTAGAGTGCTGGGAGCACAGAGCTTGAATGTGTTGTGCCAAATTATGCTCCTCAGAATTCTCCCAATAGCTTAGAAAACTAAATCAACGGGAACACCAGGTTTTCTGGAGTCTGTTTTACTTGTGTCTGTAACTTGACCGGGTAGTAGTGGCTGTGCATGCTATGTGTTCAGAACTTCTTCTAGGTCCTTGGATCACTGGTGTCCTATTTAGTAAACCTCTGGCCTAGGAAATGGTCTCCATAAGGTTCTGGAAGAAATCCTGAACTCCCCCAGTAAACCAGGCCCACCTGAAAGGAAGACAGTTCAGTTCTGCCCACCAACATGAGCAGTCAGACCATCGTGGTCTGCCTTCCGCAGCACACGAGAAACAGAGATTCAGACACAGTGCAATCTCCCATTCCTGCACCTGAGGGAAACTCATTGGCCAGACTGACCAAAAGCAATGGCTGGAAAGTTTCACAAACCCTAACTGCTGTATGCGTATGGAGACAGCCCCAGTTCTGCACATGAAGAAGTCAGTTTAAGCACTGAGTCTGGGGGCTGTTTAATCAGGAGTCACAAACTTAGGTGTTCGGTTTGCTGTACACAGGTGTTTTTCTCTTTTTGTTTTAATGCCTTTAGGTATTACATACTCTCAAGTTCACCTAAGGTCCACCACTCCTATTGAGTAGAGTGCCCATCTGTGTTGCTTTAAGACAAAAATGAATCCTGGACTCTGATTTTAACCAAGTTCCACATTAAGTAATAAATTATATTCCTGTTTTTGGACATGGATCATAGCTTTTAAAAGAAAAAGATTTGTTTGTTTCTTTGTTTGTTTACTTATTTGAAAGGCAAAGCATTGCTAGGGCTGGGAGTGGGGAGAGTAGCAGGGAGAGAGAGAATAAATTTCCACCTACTGAGTCACTCCCTAAATGGCCTCAATAGCCAGGTCTGGGCCAGGCTGAAGCCAGGAACTCCGACCAGGTCTCCCACCACCCACTGCCTTCCCAGGCACATTAGCAAGAATGCTGGATCAGAATTAGAGCAGCCTGGACTTGAACTGTAGCTCCATTACGGGATGACAGCATCACAAGTGTCGGCTTGACCCTCTGTGCCACAGTGTCCGCCCCCATATCTTGTTTTCCTTAGGGAATGCGATTGTTTACATATGCGATTGCTCGTAGTTCATCACAGTATACTCCTGAGGTTCTCCATATCCTTTGAAAAGGTGAAAGGAATGAAGAAAGTACCCAATTAATTATAAGCATATTTTGATCACCTGCTATATGCCAAGAGACTTGCAAGAAACAAAGGAGGGCAGGAACTCACACTTGTTACACATTTAATATGAGCTAGGGACTAGTGCAAAGGACTTTACATGTATTATCTTCCTTTTTAAAATAATCTTTAGAGTTACCCTATTGGGAATAGATATGACATTGTCATTCCATTTTGTGGCTGGTGAAATTGAGGCTCAGAGAGCTTAAATTGTTTTCCCAAGGTCACACAATTAGTGTGTGGCTAAGCAAGGCTTCAGACCCAGATCCTTCTTTCTGTCTACTCCATTGGGCCAAAACCTGAATTTAAGGAGCTCGTGGTCTGGTTAAAGAGACAGAAACTTCACTCAAATTCTCATATTAAGATTTATCCATATTTTGAAAAATCTAGGGATCTAGGCAGAGGGATGTTAAGCCTGCAAGACTTACTTGCCAAAAAATGAGGTCTTGGAAAGAAGGCTAAAGAAACCACTAAGAAAATATAGTGGGTATAGTCTTCCATGGATTTATGAATAAAGATTGGGGGCTGGCATTGTGGCATAGTGGTAAAGCCTCTGCCTGCAGTGCCAGCATACCATATGGGTGCCAGTTCGAGTCTGGGCTGCTCCACTTCCGATCCAGCTCTCTGCTATGGCCTGGGAAAGCACTAGAAGATGGGCCCAAGTCCTTGGACTCCCGCACCCGCATGGGAGACCTGAAAGAAGCTCCTGGTTCCTGGCTTCAGATGGGTGCAGCTCCAGCCACTGTGGTTAACTGGGGAGCGAACCAGCAGATAGAAGACCTCTCTCTCTCTCTCTCTCTCTCTCTCTCTCTCTGCCTCTCCTTCTCTCTCTATGTAACTCTGACTTTCAAATAAATAAATAAATCTTTCAAAAAAAAAAAAAGAATAAAGTTGACTTCCAAAACAGGCTATCTGTAGAATGAGGCTGAAGATCAAAGTTTGACAGAGTAGTAGATGGCATTGCAGACTGGTCATGCTATCATAAAATATTAGTAGCTTAAAAGGGATTATTACTTACCTTAGTATATACATTATTTTCATTTAAGTTACACCATATGTATATGAAAAACTATTATCCCAGTTTTATAGGTGATGAAACCAAGAAGTCAAAGCAAGCAAGCAAGAAAACCAGCTAGCTTAAATCTACATAGCTAGTAAAGGTTGTGCTCAGACTGAAACCCAGGTCTGACTCCAGAGCTCATTATCCTACTGTGCTCCTTCCCACACAATAATAAATGGAAGCTACTATTATTGTATTCTGGAAAGTGCCAGAAAGAAAGTCTGCGTGAAAAATAATTAAGTAGCAGTTCATAGTAGAAGAGAGCTCCCGGAGTACGGATTTATTTTTCTATTAAATTTTTTATGTTATTTCTGGGCACATCCATTTTAGAAGGAGGGCTGAGTGGAGTATGTTGCTAATTTGCTGAGAAAAGTTCATCTTCAGAAGCAGCTTTAACTGCTCAGGTGCCACAGGTTGGAATACATCTGAGGTTCCTGGATCAGGGCTCTAAAGAAGGATCCAACCCTAGCTGAGCCAGTCCACGAGCAAGGTCTCCCAAGAGATCATTATAACTAAAAGTGAAGGAGAGATGTCCACTCAAGTCCTTTAGCTACACCAGACTGCACAATGGCGTAAGAGGACTATATGTGAAAAGATAATCAATGGCACTATAAATAATGTATGGGGAAAAGCAGCTGTGAATAGTCATTGGCAGGAGGGCGATACCTGCTGCAGCTGTGGAGGGTCAGAAAGAGAACAGAGATGATTATGAGAAATGTCAAGTTGTACAGATTTGGATTTGAATGTACTCATGTGACTGTGAGCAAATAATGTGACCTCTCTCAGTCCCATATCTTCACCTGTAAAATGGGAATTCTGAAATTAAGTAAGAAATGTAAAACGGTTAGCATGGTGTCCTGCCAGTCCTTAATGTAACAGATGGTGTCATATAATTATCTGTTACAGTGTCAGTCTTCTCCAGGGGACTGTAATCTTGGAAAACAGGGTCTGTGACCTGTTTATGCATCTCATCCTTTCATAAGTGCTCCAGCTCATCCTTGTTCCTACCTATTGTTTCCTTCTATGTGACGGGCATTCCATCCCTTATCAGATGATCCATGAGCTATCTCCCCCTTCGATACAGTCCACACCGGAAGTTGTGACAGATTGACCTGACTGGGGAGTCAGGAAGGCTTACCGTGTGCCACTTTTTACGCTGCCTTAGGAATGCATTTTCTGCCATCTCTCTTCTGCACTTCCATAAACCATCAGTCATGCGGTCTGATGTCATGACTGAGCAGGCTTGCCTGCCTAATTATCTAACACACATTTCTACACAAATACCATAGAGTAAAAGGGGACGTGGCTGCAAAGGTAGACTAGAACCACATTGTGGAGAAGATCATGTTATATTTTCATGGCATTTCTGCAGAGTCCTGAAAATGTATGGATTTGACAAAGAATGGAAAGAGCAGGTCTTTAGCCCAGCAGTTGAGACTCTGCTTGGGACACTTGAATTCCGTATTGGAATTTGAGTTTGGGTTTGAGTTCTGGTTCTACCTCTGATTCCAGTTTCCTGCTAATGTGCACATTGGGAGGCAACAGATGACAGACCATGTACTTGGGAAACCTGCACTGAGTTCCTGGCATCATGGCTCTGGCTTCAGCCTGGCCCAGCCTCAGCTGTTGAGGGCATTTGGGGATTGAACCAGTAGGTAGAAGATCTCTCTCTCTCTCTCTTTCTCTCTCTCTCTCTTTCTCTCTCTCTCTCTCTCTCTCACACAAGTAAATAAAAATAAATATTTAAAGTATTTTTAAAGAATAGAAAAATCTGCATGACTAAGCTTAAATAATACCTATTTTTGGTATTTGGATACTTTTGTTATTTGAGGGTGTTGGATTTCGAAGGTTTTGCTTGTGTTAGGTGGTAAGGATGAGGTATCAATATTTTAGATTTTCTGCAGAGTTCATTTTTGTGTTCTCACTTTATGCTAAGTACTAGTAAATGTATCATTTGAAGAACTGATCTGTCAGTTTTTTTCCAAGTGTGACTCAGGGACCCCGTGCCTCAGAATTCCCTGGAGGCTTTTCAAAATGCAAATTTCTGTGTCCCACCCCAAATATGCCAACCCAGAATCCGTGAGGGTGTTACCCAGGAATATCCAGGTGATTTTTACACTTATTGTGGGAAGAGCGTCACCTGCCAACAGTTAGATGAATTCAACTGAAATGTACACAGAAGAGCACATTGTTCATGTGTGTGTGTGTGTGTGTGTGTGTGTGGTTATTGCTAAAGCAGAGTATTGATCACCCTGATTACTGCTGGGTCTTTCCTACAGACTAGGGTTGCCCTGCTAGGTATTTTGTATCTGTGGCCATTTTACGTCTTACTGATCGATCTTATAAGAAAAAGGTAGGAAAATATGTCCTGGTCTTAAAACCTTAAAAAAATCAGAGACACATCCTTTAAAAGAACAAGAATATTTGCAATTCTTCCAAAGAATCATAGCTTCCGCAGGCTTCCCTCTTCAGATAACAGGGTGGAGGTAAGGAGTGAGAACATGGCCAGAGAAACAGTCCGAGGCCTTGGGTGCAAGCCTGGCCCATCATCCTGGCTGCCTTTGGAGGCTGCCGGTCACTGTGCTTAGGCCTGCTTTGCTCCTCATTCTAGATCATGCAGCAGATGAGTGACCACCGCTATGACAAACTCACCGTGCCTGATGACGTGGCTGCCAACTGTATATATATAAATAGCCCCAGCAAAGGGCACGTTCTGCTGCACCGAACCCCGGAGGAGTATCCAGAAAGTGCAAAGGTAAAAAAAAAAAAAAAATCCCTCCTGGCTGCTGCAGTGGGGTGGGCCTCCCTGGGGATGCTTTCTTGGTGCAGTGACAGGAGGGGCTTCCTTTCTCCTTAGACACGTCAAGCCATGAAGACAGCAGAGCAGATCCTGTCAGTTAGGGCTTTTCTCATTCCTGCTGTTGGTCACCAGAGCACGCACAGGAACTGAGCCTCTCAGAGCTTTTCACGTAAGGCCTAGATCCGCCCAGGATCTGTGCTCCAGCTCGAACTGCATATACCTTCCACACTCGGATACTCATTCGGCGTAAAGACCTACCGTTGGAGGGTCAACTGTGTGATTGTTTTCTGCTGCCCCTCAGCAGAGTCACTTGTTTGTTTCAGCAGAGGAGTAAGAGTGATATCCAGAGGTCAGGGCTGCAGAAAGAGAGGGCTGCACTTTTTAGGCAGCAAAAAGCTTTTTGTGGAAAAGATAGAGCAGAAGAATAGGGTGCACTTGGAGTCAGCCCTGCAGGGGTCTGCACTTGTGTCCCGACAAGGGCAGTGTCTCTGGCTCTGGGATTCCTGCCTGGTCGTCAGGGCCCTTCGCCAGTCCCATCTGCACACGTGAGCAGTTTTAGTGCTGCCCTGCCAAGCAGAGAGAGCAGTGCTTATCCACATGCTCTTCAAGTGGCCCTGTCTTCCAGCACTTCAGCGACTTCGTCTCTCCCCGGAGGAGCAGATGTGGAGACCGAGCATTACCGAAGAGCCGTCTTAACAAGTGCTGTCTTTTCTGTGACATCTTACACTTTGAAACTATTAGAAAATATGTTATGCCATCTTTTCCATATGCAATAGTATTTTTTTTTTCAAAGATTCATTTGTTTGTTTGAAAGCAGAGTGACAGAGAAGACGGATAGCAAGAGAAATCTTCTACTCACTGATGGACTCCCTGAATGACCACAATCACCAGGACTGGGCCAGCCCAAAGCCAGGGTCCATTCAGATCTCCCAAGTGGGCGCAGAAACCCAAGTACCTGGGCCATCATCTGCTGCTTTCCTGGGTGCATTAGCAGGGAGCTGGATTGGAAGCAGAACAGCTAGACCCCAAACTGGTGCTCCGATATAGGATGCCTGCATTGCAAATGGTAGCTTAACCCACAGCCCCTCAACATGCAGTGCTATGTAATTACTAGATTTACCCTCCAATCACAGCCTCCCTCTTAGCAGATAAAAATAAAAGATAAAGCAGGTATGTGGATTATTTATCCCTATTTCTATAGCTGAAAGCCTGAACCTGAGGAAAATTTATTACTCCTAACCCAGACGGGGGCTTAACCAGTTCTTAGGTAAATACCAGACCTCATAATTAAATGTGCATCAAGGTTTTTTAAAATGTTGCTTCCTGGGGCCAGTCTTATGGCCCAGTGGGTTAAGCCACCATTTGCAAGGCTGGCATCCCACATTAGAGTGCTTGTTCGAGTCTTGTGGCTACTCTGCTTTTGATCCAGCTCCCTGCTAATGCACCTGGGGAAGCCATAAAAAATGGCACAAGTGCTTGGTTCTCTTCTACCCTCATGGGAGCCCCAGATGGAGTTCCAGGCTCCTGGCTTCCACCTGTCCCAGCTCTGGCTGTAGTGGCCTTTTGGGGAGTGAGCCAACAGATGGGAGATTCTCTCTGTGTGTGTATCCCTCCCTCTCTGTTGCTCTGCCTTCTGAATAACTAAATAAATCTTTTGGGAAAAAAAATGGTGGTTCCTGGACCTCCACCCTAGAGTCTACAACATCAACAAGCAGCCGGCTCCCAGGACTCCCTTTGAGAAACGCTGGCCTAGGTCGTTCATGCCTCTCTAGATGCACTGGGCATCTGGCATCCTCAACCGCTTCCCGTTTCAACCTGGGGCCTACCAGTGATGACAAGAACATTGCTAACTCGCTGCTCACTGGAGGCGTGCCTGAACAAGGTGCTGTGCCAAGCACGTTACACATACGGTCTTACTGAGCCTGTGGGGCTACCCTATGAGGGCTGTGTTATTGTTCCAGTCTTAGAGAAAAGTGAACTGAGGTTCAGAGGGGCTGTGGCTGCACTGAAGTCACACTTGAAGGAGTACGTTGACAGAACCCAGTTTGGAACCAACTCTGTCACTCCCACACTCCTCGCCCCTGCACTGAATTTAAAGAATGCACGATTTTCTAAAAACACATGGCAGGTTGTATTAAGGCGTCGTGTTTTCAAGTGATTCTCTTGTTTCAAAAGAGCTTTGTTTGATCATCAGAGAAAAATCTACAGACCGCAATTTGAAGTTCTGACACATGCTTTCTTTTACTGTCAAAAGACGTTATAAAATTCACACCTGTAATTTAAAAGCGGCTTGACCCGAAATATTCCACTAAATTACATTTTGTCAAAATTTTTCCAGTGGTGTTAGTAAGGAAATAAACATTAAAGTATAGTCAAGAGGGTTTTAAAGTGGGGAGCCAGTCATAGGCGGCAGGAGCACGTGGCCACCGATGGACACGAGTCACTCCAGCTAGCCCTGACAGCGGCAGAGGCCAGGCGTGTCTACCAACACCCACGTTTCTGACATATCTCTGGCTCGGAGGTGAAAGCACTGGGCTAGCAGGTAACTGGTTGTTGCCAGCTCCCTGAGGACAGCTGCAGGCATGCGTGGAGTCTACAGTGTGTGTATCTATTGGGGTTAAATGAGTGGGAAGCCTAGACCCTCAAACCCAATGAAGTCTGTCCATCCTGGGGGTGGCAGAGGAGCAGAAACGTAACGCTTCCTCTCTTCCTTTCCCTTGATTGCCTCTGTAGGTGTATGAGAAACTGAAGGACCATCTGCTGATCCCCGTGAGCAATTCTGAACTGGAAAAGGTGGACGGGCTACTCACCTGCTGCTCGGTGTTAATTAACAAGAAGGCCGACTCCTGAGCACAGAGGCCCGCCCTTGTCGCTGGCGAGCCCGCACTAGCAAGGCCCGTGACTCTGCCCCCACTCCCGTTGTTTTCCTTGACAATCTACTGTGCCACTGTGCTACTAACTTCTGTTTACAAAGATTGAATTCTAAGTTTAATTTCTCCATGTCCTTCGTCCTCATCCTTCCTCTCCCTCACGGTGGTACCTAAGCTGTGGATTTGCTAAAAGAATTAAGCAACCTAGAAAACATAGAGCTAATGAATCATTGGAATGTGATTTTAACAGGAAACACTCATTTTAGTGTTTGTATTATCTGTGTGAAAAACATTTCGTTGCCAATGTATTCTGGAGAATATCTTGATCATTCAGATAAGCTGGGTTTTTTCTCTATATCATGAATCATGTTCAGTTCCTGTGAAATTCCCTGCTCCATGGATTCTCCCTGGCTTCCTCTTTTTTTCTTCTGAACTCTGGACACTATTTTTTCTCTTTACTTTCGTTTGCCTTTAGCATTTGTATCACAGCCACCTTGATCTTGAATACAATCCAGGGTCTTGCAGCCTGGATACCTGCCTCGCAGGTGCACCCTGTCTGCCATCAATATCCTCTGCCCCCTCCCTCTCTCCCCATGGGCAAACGGGCTCCTCCTGTGACCCAGACCAGAGCAACTGTGTGGGGGGAGTGTCAGCCACAGAGAGGCACATCATGACAGGGTTTGCCCCACGACCTAAATTCCAGAAGTAGGGCACCACACCTAGGAAGGTGAATTCAGCACCAGGTAGTTGCCAAGAGATCGTAGATCAAGAAGTGTAGAAACACCTGTTGGTAAAATATCTTAGAAAGTCTCTAAGTCACATGCCATGAATTTTTGCTTCATTACTGGCTGTAAAGGCCCTTAGAGGAAAGGCTTATCCTTTTCCTTCAGCCCATTTCTCTTTCTCTCCACCTTGACTCACCCTCCTAATTATCCTGGTCTAGAAAAGCCATTTCTTTCACAAGAAACATCACATCTAAAAATGGTCAAGTGTGAGCTAGAGAAAATGGCCCTCCCTGGGGCAGCTCTGTGGTCACCAAAGGGTCCACTCAGGAAATGACCTGCTCGGGGCTTAAACCAACCTCAGACAATGGGTGACTCTCCTTGGAAATGCCTGTGAGAGTTACTGTGGAATTCAGTTAAAACTTCCTTCTTCCCTAGCCTTCACCTTGCACAACTTTCAACCAACACGATCTCTAACAAAGAACAATGCCACAGTGCAGGGCGAGATCTGAAAACTGGAAGAATCCACCTACTAGCAGGTACTTTCCAAGAATGGCAGCTGACTCAAGCATGTTATCATACTTCCTAGTCGTCTCCACCTTTCCCGTGTTGCCTGTGACTCCTTGGTTAAGAATCAGGGAGATGAGCGGTGTCACTTCAGGTCTCGCTCCGCTTACCTCTGTGTTAGTAGTCAAACATTCCCGAAGTTGGTGATCAAGAGAGAATGGCTCCCGTTCATTTCATCATCCCCTTAGCACCCAGAAGAAACCCCTGAGAAAGCCAAGACAGCCTTAACCATGCTCTATCTTTTCTACTTATTTTATGACTTTCTGCAGAAATTTGTAGAAATTTCTTCTCCTTCTGTTCCTTGCCATTTAACTTTAAAATCCATAGCACATGCAAATATCTAATGATGTGCATCCTGTGATAGAACCATATCTCGGTCACTGTCAAATTTCAAAGCTTCCCATGGTGGATGAATGATTTGTTCTTACCAGAGAGAATGAATGTTAGCCACATGCTGAGATTAATAAAGGAAAATTAGGGCTGCCCTTTTGGGTTGAATCTAGCCCTACATTGGCAAAAGCAGGACTTCTCCCCGCACAAACTCAGCATCTCAAAAACAACCACAAGAAAAGCAACCCATCGGTCAGTCAGTTTGGGCTAACTGGCATGTGATTTTTTTTTTTTTTTTTGGACAGGCAGAGTGGACAGTGAGAGAGAGAGACAGAGAGAAAGGTCTTCCTTTGCCATTGGTTCACCCTCCAATGGCCCCCGCGGCCGGCGCGCTGCAGCTGGCACACCGCGCTGATCCAATCCCTGGTCTCCCATGGGGTGCAGGGCCCAAGCACTTGGGCCATCCTCCACTGCACTCCCGGGCCACAGCAGAGAGGTGGCCTGGAAGAGGGGCAACCAGGACAGAATCCGGCGCCCCGACCGGGACTAGAACCTGGTGTGCCGGCGCCGCAAGGCGGAGGATTAGCCTAGTGAGCCACGGCACCGGCCTTGGCATGCGATTTTCATAGCATCCCTTCTGTCACCCCAAATTTAAGAGCTGTTTTCTATTATGTTTAGTCAATTGCAAGTAAATAGATTTTTCTTGATAACAATTTGCTCTGCAGAAAGCAGCCTTTCGTTTTTCCTTTTCCTTGCACCTTTTCCTCTCCTCTTGGTCTCAAAAAATCACTTTGAATCTGGGTGCCTGTTCCACATCTTACTCTCACACCACAACATGACCTTCCAGGCTTCTTTGGACTCCCTGTGTGATATGATGATGTGAAAACATAAAGTACTTGTAGCATAATAGAAGTACTTCTTTGATGTTCTCAGCATAAGCTATCTTTGAAAAGGAAAAACATCTCTTCCATAGGTTCCCCTCTTATCCGTTGTGATTTATAAGACAGATGAACTAGCAGGAACTGCTTTTTGACATTATAAAGACACAACAGATTATATTTAAGTAAGTAAAAGTTGAGTCAGAATTGGTTGGTGTGATTTAGTTTAACAAATGGGTGATATAGAGAAAATACATTATTTAGCGTTTATCTCTTCATCAATGATGGATTGCTATAGAAATCAGAAGGCAGACCTCTCTAATGTGTATTGATTGTTCTTTTAAGCTGGTGTGAACAGATTACTAAGGCCATCTCTTCATCTCGAAGGAGGGCAATACTCTGTAGAGGAATATGTGACTTACATAGAGTTGCATGTTAATCTTTGGATTATTTACTCTGTAACATTCTATAGAATCCAGACACGATTCCAACCTGGTGTTAGAGTTCTGCCTTTTATTTTTCTGACCATCTTGTTCCAGCCAATATATGGTTATCCACTGTGTGTGCCAAAACCAGTAATGCCTTCCATGGCCCTTTAGTCCAGAGAAGTTCTGCCCTGATTGTAGTCTCTTGCTGTCCCGGTCCTACATGTGTACCAATCATGATGGAATAAAGTGTGAGTTGTACTGTGATCCACAGCATTGGTCTCTTTTTTGCAACAGAAATTGCCATGGGAAAGGAAGTTATCATTTCTTTACCGCCAAAACATGGGGTGTTTTCTCTCTTGTCCTGTGGGCCACGGAATTGGCAAAACTGTACCTGAAAATCAACTGTCATTGAAACTTGGGTTAGAATGACATTGGAAGTGATACTTTACCCTGGAGGCACTTGAAAAGTGTGCAGATGACCCATGCCAGGTCAGCAGAGCTGGATTTCACCTGTGCTGCTTCTAAAAGGTATCTCTTCTTTCTGCTTTGTTTTTTTTTTTTTTTTAAGATTTATTTTATTTGGAAGACAGGGTGACAGAGAGAGACCAAAGAGAAGGAGAGATCTTCCACCCACTAGTTCACTCCCACAGTGGCCAAGACTGGGCCAGGCTGAAGCCAGTTCAACCAATGGTATAAGTAGAACAAAAAAGTACTAAAAGGAATAAAGTGGTAAGTTGTCCCTCGACAGTCAGGACAAGGGCTGATCAAGTCACTGTTTCTCATAGTGTCCATTTCACTTCAACAGGTTTCCTTTTTGGTGCTTGGTTAGATGTCACCGATCAGGGAGAACATATGATATTTGTGCCTTTGGGACTGGCTTATTTCACTCAGCATGATGTTTTCCAGATTCCTCCATTTTGTTGCAAATGACCGGATTTCATTGTTTTTTACTGCTGTATAGTATTCTATAGAGTACATATCCCATAATTTCTTTATCCAGTCTACTGCTGATGGGCATTTAGGTTGATTCCAGGTCTTAGCTATTGTGAATTGAGCTGTGATAAACATTGAGGTGCAGACATCTCTTTTATTTGCCAATTTAATTTCCTTTGGGTAAATTCCAAGGAGTGGGATGGCTGGGTTGTATGGCAGGATTATAGTTAGGCTTCTGAGGAATCTCCAAACTGAAAGAAAGGGTTTTTTTTAAGATTTATTTATTTTATTTGAAAGGCAGAGTTACAGAGAAGTAGAGAGAGAGAGAGAGAGAGAGAGAGAGAGAGGTCTCCCATCTGCTGGTTCACTCCCCAGACAGCCGCAATGGCCAGAGCTGCACCAATCTGAAGCCAGGAGCTTCTTCCATGTGGTGCAGGAGCCCAAGGACTTGGGCCATCTTCTGCTTTCCCAGGCCATAGCAGAGAGCTGGAGAGCTTGATTGGAAGTGGAACAGCCAGGACTTGAACCAGCGCACATATGGGTTGCTGGCACTGTAGGCAGCAGCTTTACCCATTACGCCACAGCATCAGCCCCAAAGAGTTTTTTTTTTTTCTTTTAACTTTTATTTAATAAATATAAATTTCCAAAGTACAGCTTTTGGATTACAGTGGTTTTTCCCCCCCATAACTTCCCTCCCACCCACAACCCTCCCATCTCCCGCTCCCTCTCTCATTCCATTCACATCAAGATTCATTTTCAATTCTACAAAGAGTTTCTTTTCAAAGATTTATTTAGTTAGTTGAGAGGTAGAGTCACAGACAGAGAGAAGGAGAGACAGAAAGAAAGGTCTTCCATCCACTGGTTCACTCCCCAAATGGTCACAATGGCCAGAGTTGGACCAAACCAAAGCCAGGAGCTAGGAGCTTCTTCCAGGTCTCCCACGTGGGAGCAGGGGCCCAGGCACTTGGGTCATCTTCTACTGCTTTCCCAAGCCATCAGCAGGGAGCTGGACGGGAAGTGGAGCAGCTGGAACTTGAACTGGTGCCCATATGTGATGGTGGTGCCACAGGCAGATACTTAACCTACTATACCACAGCACTGACCCCTGAAGGTTTAAAAAAAAAAACAAACATTTTTTTATTTCCAACAATTTTTCTCAAACTGAAGGAGCAGTATTGTTTCCTATTTCATATTATAAAAAAAAAACTCTCTATAAAGGCAAAATCCAAGCAGTACCAAAGGAAACGCAAACAGTAAAAATAAAAAGAAAGAAAATTTATCCTAAATTTTGTCACCTAGAGATGATCACTATTTTTTTTTGAGTAAATACATTTATTGATACCCATTTTATATATAGTTCAATGAAATAATCTACAAATATAAAAGCACTTTTCTTTAGGATATCACCATGGTCCATGTAAACACTCAACACTCAGAGTCATTGCAGGAAGCCCTCCAAGTCACACTGTTGGGCTTACAGCCCTGAACATACAAATTCCATTCAACAGTGGCACTTATGTAGTCAAGTGGTCCAGGGAGATAATCACTATTAATATTTCAGAAAATACACATCTCTGGATAGATTAGATATAAATATGGAATAATTTTACATAATCAGGCTACTCTGCAGTCTGCTTCCTTCTTTTAGTAATATCTCTCCATCACCATAAACGGAGATTTACATCATCAATTCTAACCCTGAATATCCTACAATGTGGTTACTGAAGCAGCCCTTTCTGAATTCTACAGGGTATTATATCAAAGATGGTCAGTATGTCCACATCGCTGTTAGCCAGGGGGCTTTACACTATCAAAACTGTGCTGTGACAAGCCTTCACACAGCCCCAGGTAGTGCAGTCTGATGTGTTCCTATCATAACTGAAGCTACGTGTGAATGCTCGCCAGATGCACAGCCTAGAATCAGAATTCTTTCAGGAGGTTGTTGATTTACTCGCACCTCCTCATTGATGTTGTTGCTTTGATTCACTCTCTACTGTGTAGACTGGCAATGAAGCCAAAAAAGGCAAAATGCCAAATACCACCCTGAACACCTGGTTTTGGTCCCAATGGAAAATGGAAGCCTCTTGGCCAGCGCCACGGTTCACTAGGCTGATCCTCTGCCTGCGGCGCCAGCACCCTGGGTTCTAGTCCCAGTTGGGGCGCTGGTTCTGTCCTGGTTGCTCCTCTTCCAGGCCAGCTCTCTGCTGTGGCCCAGGAAGGCAGTGGAGGATGGCCCAAGTGCTTGGGCCCTGTACCCGCATGGGAGACCAGGAGAAGCACTTGGCTCCTGGCTTTGGATCGGCGCAGCGCACCGGCCATAGCGGCCATTGTAGGGGTGAACCAACGGAAGGAAGACCTTCCTCTCTGTCTCTCTCACTGTCTAACTCTGCCTGTCCAAAAAAAAAAAAAGAAAGAAAGAAAAGAAAAAAAGAAAAGGAAAGAAAGAAAAAAGAAAATGGAAGCCTCTGTCTCGGCGCCAGAAGACTGTGCTCCCTCCCGAGGAGACAGGGGGATCCTGTACACAGGAAGATGTGGTCCCCAACTCATCTCCCTCCTCGCTTTCTAAAAAATGAAGGAAGAGGGAAAATACCCTCTCCTGGAAAGCTGCAGACTCTGGAAGCGGGAATTTTGCTGAGTGAGGAATGCTGCTCACAGCAAAGTGACACAGGTGACAAAGCCCCACTCTGCCAGGCTCTGCAGTGCAGCTTCTGTTCTTCAACAGCTGATGGCCGGAGCCGGCGCCGGTGCTGTGGCATAGTGGATTAACGCCCTTGGCCTGAAGCACCAGCATCCCACATGGGCGCTGGTTCGAGACCCAGCTGCTCCACTTCCAATCCAGCTCTCTGCTGTGGCCTGGGAAAGCAGTAGAAGATGGCCCAGGTCCTTCAGCCCCTGCACCCTCATGGGAGACCCGGAGGAAGCTCCTGGCTCCTGGCTTCGGATTGGTGCAGTTCCAGCCATTGCAGCCATCTGGGGAGTGAACCAGCAGATGGAAGACCTCTCTCTCTCTCTCTCTCTCTCTCTCTCTCTCTCTCTTTCTCTGCCTTTCCTCTCTCTGAGTAACTGACTTTCAAATAAATAAATCTTTTTAAAAAATTGAAAAAAAGAACTGATGTCCTAGGACAGGCAGGAAAGGAGGCCCACACGAGTGCACAGTGACTAAGAAGGTGAAACACGTAAAAGAACATTGCAGTTCCCAAGTCAGGGAGACCAGGCAGGAATCGGGGTTTGAGCTGGGAGTGGATGGACAGCCATGGCTTCAGTAGGTGGAGGTGGGCATGCAGGCACTGCAGCTGTGGGGACAGCATGTGCACAGGCAGAGGTAGGACAGTCACTTCTGCTGTGCCTTGGGGATACAATGGGGATAGTGCCTGCTGAATTTGCATTCGACAAGGAAGACAGTGAACAAAGTGTGACTAGTATGATGACCCTCTGGGTACTCAAATCAAACAAATGAATCTGATTGGCTGAGATACAGGGTAAGACGAGTATTGTACAAAAGCCTGGTGAGACAGTGTGGGTTGGGATGTCGAATACCCCAAGCTGAGTATTTGGACTGAAGTCGGCCGTCTGTGCGACCCCCTGAAGCTCCTGGGTCAGGGATCAGTGCACCACAGTTAGGTCTGGCAGCGCTGTGCAGGACTGGGAACGGAGAGGAGTCAGGTTTCTCTGGTTTCTCCAAGTTTAATATTTTATTTAAGCATCTCGTCTTACCATCAAAATGGAGCCTGAACGCCTGGCAATTAACTCCGTCTCTATTTTCGCTCCTGAAGAAAAGGATAATAACACCTTCCCCTCCCAACTCCTAAGGAACTTTTAGAAACACTTGGGTGGTTTTATTTGAAAAGCAGAGTGACAGAGGTAGAAAAGAGGAAGATACAGAGAAAGATCATCCATCTACTGAAACTCTCCAAATGCCTACAACAGTCAGCAGGTAGGCCAGGCTGAGGCCAGGAGCTAGAAATTCCATCCATGTCTCCCATTTATGTGACAAAGACCCAATTCCTTGGGGCCATCATCTGCTACTTCCCCAGTACGTTAGCAGGAGGGTGAATCAGAAGCAGAGTAGCTGAGATTCAAACCAGCACTTGGATATTGGATGCCAGAGGTCCCAAGCAGCAGCTTAACCCACTGCATCATAACACCTGCTCATAAGGGACATTTTTAATGCAAATGAGATTAAAAAAAAACTGAAGGGTTCTTTGCAAGAAAGATATATTATAAATATCATTATCATCATCATTATCCTCATTAACTCCTATCACAGCAAGTTTGGATCCATCAAAATGTCATTCTTATTTGAAACATCAATCACCTGCTCCAGAAATAAC